GCTGGTATTTTGGCCCATTCCTCCCTGTAGAACTCCTCTCGAGCAGTGATGTTTTGGGGCTGTCGCTGGGCAATGCGGACTTTCAACTCCCTCCAAAGGTTTTCCATGGGGTTGAGATCTGGAGACTGGCTAGGCCACTCCAGGACCTTGAAATGCTTCTTACGAAGCCACTCCTTCGTTGCCCGGGTGGTGTGTTTGGGATCATTGTCATGCTGAAAGACCCAGCCACGTTTCATCTTCAATGCCCTTGCTGATGGAAGGAGGTGTTCACTCAAAATCTCACGATACATGGCCCCATTACTGGCTTAAGCAGGGGGACACATCTGGCACTGCAGGATTTGAGTCCCTGGCAGCATAGTGTGTTACTGATGGTAGCCTTTGTTACTTTGGTCCCAGCTCTCTGCAGGTCATTCACTAGGTCCACTGGCTTAAGCAGGGGGACACATCTGGCACTGCAGGATTTGAGTCCCTGGCAGCATAGTGTGTTACTGATGGTAGCCTTTGTTACTTTGGTCCCAGCTCTCTGCAGGTCATTCACTAGGTCCAATTACAGGCCTCTCTCATCTTTTTAAGTGGGAAAACTTGCACAATTGGTGGCTGACTAAATACTTGTTTGCCCCACTGTATTTCACAAGTGAAATGTCGGCCTCTTGCAGAATTAGAGTCTAGGTTTTCTGTTTATTACTTGAGGAGAGGAACCGAAAGGAATGGACTCTTGTCTATGAAACTAATCCCCTCTCTTTGTGTGCGTCTGCCACTCAGAGTCCAAAATTATGCTGAAGATCTTCCACTTAGATCAGGTTGTAGGCGAGGAGAAAGGGTGATTTTCCTACATTTTTTATTTCCTCCCTGGGTCAACCTTGTACTTGGTTGGGTTTCATTGCAGGCTTGACTGGGGGCCTGGGAAGGGCCAGCGTCTCGTCAGGCACCAGCGAGATCAAGCGAGAGGACAAGGAGGAGGATGAAAACACGTCAGTGGCTGATAATTCAGAAGAGGAGAAAAAGGAACTGAAGCCATCTCGAAACAGAACAAGGTGCTCACTAAACAGGTCTCAGCCTTTCTCTCTCCCCTTTGGAGGCTAACTGGGCAGGACCTTCAAGACCTGACCTTCAGAGAGGAAAGCCTAAGGCAAAATATCTTCCTCCAGAGTATTTTAAGTGTTGGAGGGGATCCACCCACAATTTTCAAACTTCTAGGGACCTACAACAAATAGTAAAGGGCCAACTTCTTTGCTTTGCAAAAGTGGGGCAGGTTGTCTTGTTGGAGAAATGAATCAGGAGGAAACCCCATCTAATTTTCCAGCTCAGGCAATTAGTTTGGCTGGGTAATTTAAAGATGATAAAAGATACTGGTGTTTTTCAAATTAACTTTTGGTTTTATTTTCAAATTCTGCTACTCTTCCCTGAGAAATTGTGGAGGAGCAGAACACTTTATTCCACTCTTCCCAGATAGCTGAGTTAGGGGCTTTTAGTTCTACCTCTCTTCCCTGACCCTTTGTCCCATCTGCCATTTCCCTGCAAAGGTTCTGGGTAGAGGAAGAAGGTGTGACGTACTTGCTTGAGCCTCTCCTTTACCTCAGACAAATGTCAAATGTGCTCTAGAACAGCCAATCCAAATTTTGTTTAGGGAATATGGCTTCACTAAGAACATTTTTGGGCCATGTCAGGCATACATTTAGTAAATACTGACTAAAGGTGGGAAAGTGGATTAATTTCTACCCTTCCATTTCAATGATCTTCTAAAAAACCACTGTTGGGATATGTTTGTTTTCTGTTGCGTGTGCATGTATGGGTGCGCACCTGTGTGTATTGTATGTATTACAGTTTTCCTTTTTTTGTTTTTTTTTGTGAACATATTCCGGTGCTGAGGTGTGCACACAAGAAAAATGTCCCCCCTTCTCCTTGTTTCATTCTTATTTCAAATTATCAGTCAAGATGAGGATGAGGAAGACGACCTTCTTCCCCCAGAGCAAAAAGCCGAGCGAGAGAAAGAGAGGCGGGTGGCCAATAATGCTCGGGAGCGCCTGCGGGTCCGCGACATCAACGAGGCCTTTAAAGAGCTTGGGCGCATGTGCCAGCTACACCTTAACAGCGAAAAACCACAGACCAAACTGCTAATCCTACATCAGGCTGTGTCGGTTATTCTGAATCTGGAACAACAAGTTAGAGGTCAGTGGAGGCTTCCGATGTGGTGACGTTTCGGAACGGCATGGGGCTGTCTGTCTTATCCTTTCAACCTTGCCCCGGCCCACAGTCGTGGGAAGGCCTGCCCGATGCTCTCCATCCTGCTGACGTTTCCCTGCATCCTTTTTTATGATGATGCCTTAGTTTGGTTTTGTGTTTTACTTCTCTGTTCCATTTTTTTTGCATCCCCTGTTATTCCTGTGTTGCATTTGGAATAAGAAATAAGCTGCACTTTCTGCATGCCAGCCAACCTCGTGCCTGTGCGGGGACTCTGCTTCTCTCTCCCTTCTTCCCTGCTCTGCTGCCTAGGGCTGTAAAGAGCAGCCCACCCTCAACCTGAGCGCTTCGTTGCTATATATCGGGAGAGGGCGGTTTCTGGAAAGATCACGTTTCTCATGCATACGGAGGATGAGTTCACAACAAATCCATCTATATCATATCATTCTTCTCAATTGGAACTCTCCTGTAATTCCTTCCCTCTCCAGCCCCTGCCTACTAGAACGTTTTCTTACATACCTCTTAAGTAGTAAACTGTAGGTTTAGTGTTTGGGAAATCCTCAACATTGAAAGCAAATGGTACCGTTTTCCAAGTTACGATCTCTGCTTCCCCATTCAAGATCTTGTTTTTAAGAAACTTTGGTGGGAGCATTTCTCACCCTGTGGTGAAAGTTCCCTGTAAAAAATATATTTCTTCAAAGCCCTCTGTCTAGAATAGTCTCAGGACAGGTGTTTTGTAGACTGTGGTGAGAGTGACTCCCTCTGCCCATCACAGGAATGACTGAATTCGGAGCATGAATGAGATACCTTGACAAAGAGAACAGGGGACGTACGTCTGGGAGACGCAGCGGGGCCCAAGCTTGTGGTAGTTTTTAGATCTGACAGTAGCACCCTGAAGCAGTGAAAGATGCTCAGAAAACGTGGGATTTTACTTACGTCGAAATGTGTGAGGTTCTGACTTTGAAGGTCATTTTCTGTCTATAACCCGAGTCTCCCAACCCCACCCTGGTTCCAGATCCCAACTTAACCTCAGGAGCCATCACACCTCCAGAGATAGAATTCAAGGACCACAGTCCCAACCTTTGGGATTCTGGAATGCAGAAGGGTCCCTGATGAAGGGAGGGAAGGGAATTGGAAATGGGTCTCTGCAGCTACCCTAGAGGGAGGTGGACTCCCACCAAGTGTAGCTGGGCTAACTTTTCTGCTGGGAATGCCTGTAAACGCTTGGCTGTGCATGTGAGCATTTAACCTTCCTTTCTTGGGACCCACCCCATGGGGGCATCTTGACAGGTTTTCTCTTCCTCCTCTTCAAGAGAGGCGGCTGTATTTACCATCAAGATTCACAGCCTGTGTTGTACTCTGCTGTCATGTTGCAATGCTGGGATTCATTTATGCTTCTCTCTCTCTCTCTCTCTCTCTTTCTCTCTTTCCCCCCTTTTTTTTCCTTTTTGCCTGTCATAACATGTATAACTTTTATTTTCCTTGTCCAATGTTTTCTTGTTCTTCTCCCCTTCTCCCCCATCCTTTACCTGCTTTCCTACAGACAGTCCCCAGCCGTGACCTCTCGGTGGTTCCCACCCTCTACCTTGTACTTGCTGCTTGCTCAAAGAGAGAAAAAACAGGAGTGGGGAAGTGGGTTGGTGCAGGGAGCAGGAAAGGAAAGGAACAATCTGTGAGTGGAAGAGTTGGCGCATGGTCCTGTCATCTGGATTTCTTGCTCTTTGTTTTTTGATTTCAAAAAATACATATAATTTTACCTGGGGTAGAAGATTGGTGAAGTTGTGCCTTGACTGATCAGCAGTTGGCATTCCTACATTTAATCCACCTGAAAAAATATTTTCCAATTGGATATTTTTGATCCCTTGGGCATTTTTATCAGAGAGCTTAAGAAGGGAGAGAATCCATTAGATGAGGTTCGTATTTCTGAGAGCTGACATCTGTTTTCCTAGAAAAAGCAGCCAATTATATTTTCTCCAGCAAAAACTCAGTGAAGATTGAGGAAGTTAGAACTGGAGCCTCACTAAACACAGACTTCTACTTCTTATAGTACCTTGGATGGGTTTTCTGCAGGACTTTCTCTTCTCCCTTTCAGTCCCCCCCAATTACCAAGAACTGATTATGTTATTATCCTTTCAAAACTAAGCTACCTTATTTTATAAATGCCAAGAAACTGCGGAACATCTGGCTGGCCTAACTTGGGCAACACAACAACTGATAGCTGTTCTCAATACTCTGATATAGTTAAGTTTGCTTTGGGATAAGAGCAAGCTTGCAGAGAGTTACTGTAGCATATGAAAGGATTGGATTCCTTCTGTGACAGGGACCAGTGAGCCAGAGTTAAATGCAACCCCAAGAGTCTGGACATTGCTTCAAGAATGTTCTGAATGCTTTAATTTTCTTTGCTATAGTCTTCAATCTATACTTCTTCAAATCACAATTAACGATTACAATTCCTGTTGGATTTGGGTACATAGGTTTATTTTTAAATTGAATCTGACAACCCTTCAAAGTAATCATTAACTTAAAATGTGGCCCTTACTTGGAAATAAGTCCTGTTGCCTTCAATGGGACTTGCTTCTAAGCAGTATTGATAACTCACAAGCAGGTATAACAAAGTGGTTTGGTTTCTATTTAACCAGACCATGGTTATTATTGGCATAATAACAGTCAACTTGGTTAATTTCAGATTTGGTTACTTCTTCTGTGATTTAGTGTGTTGTGAATACAGTTTGCTTGGATAATTTGTAGTTCAGTCTATTATGTGTTAATTCTGGGATAATGGGTTTAATTCTGTAATTCAGATTAGTAAACTATGTGAATCTATACTTTGCCTGATTTTTTTTAAGGCATACCAGAAAGGGATGGCACTTAAGTCATAAAGAAAAGCCCTACATTTTTAGCCACAATTTTTAAACCCATTGGATCAAAAATTCATTCTGGATTTAGGCTGAATTCCCAGGCAAGTTCTTAAGAAAATCCAGACTATCATTTAATAGTGAAGCCTACGCAGAAGGGCTGTCTTAAGAAGTTTCCCAAGTAGTTAATGGATCACTGGAAAGATAAAGTAGCTGACCAGGTTGTCTCGGGTGGTTCTGGATATTAAAAATCAAGAGATAACAATTACCAGGTTTGGATATGACTCTGGTTTGTCTTTTGTAGCTTAGAAGGTTGGAAATGAAGACCCCACAAAAATACACCCTAACTCTGCTTTGCTGGTTAAGAAAAGGGTTACTTAATTCCAGGTTATGTGGGGGCCTAGAATTGTGCCCTCACGCACTATTTCAGTAGGACATCTTCTTTTCATGTGCAAAATGGTTGCCTCGTATCCTCAGTTCATTGGGGACATCCACCACGCCTTGTCAGATGAAGGCAATTATACCTACCTTTTCAAGGTTTTCTTTTCTTCTTTTTTGTTTCTTTTTTTGCTCTGGGGAAAAAGGCTGCCCCTGTATGAAAACAGGGATCATGGATGTGATGGGGCTGGTGGGGAAGGGAAAAGGACTCCCTTGGTTCAATCATGCCAAGAGTTTAAGATGCTGCCAATGCTCATAACTGTTTTAGATGGGATCAATCTTGATGCCTGTTTTGGTGGCTTGGGGGAAGAGGGACAACATTTCTGATGAGCTAGCTGTGCTTTTTTAGGTGGAGATCCTTCCGGGGCTAATAGCAAAACCTGCAGGGGTGCTTTGCAGACAAGGGAACACTTTGCAGTGTTCTGAGCTACTTCAAGGAAGCTGATGTGCCCACCCTCCCCTTGAGGAGGCCACAGTAGAGTGGGTGGCAGGTCTTTCTACTCTGCTGTTAGTGATGCAACTCTGAAGGGCAGTGGGCAAAATGTATGGCTTCATTGAGTTGAAGGCAAGGGCTGATGAATGACCAGGACCATGTTTCCAGGTATTTGGTTGAATCCCAGTTAGAGATCTAGAGCAGATGATAAGGAAACTTGAGAGTGAAGAGAACCTTTCTTCTCTGCCAGTACCAGTGGACAATACCAAGCAGAATAGTTTGATCTGGTATAAGACAGTTTTTGTTTCTTCTGCATGGACTCTATTCATGGCAGGTGTTGGTAGGCACTTCACAAAGACAGTTGCCAGTTGTGGCTTTCTTTTCCTTTCTTGAATGACCCTCTTCCTTTCTCATTCTACTTTCACACCTATGTCAGTGCAGTGGTTTTCCCATTAACTGAGGATCACTTAGGGCAATGATGTCCAAACTTGGCCACTTTAAGATGAGTGGACTTCAACTCCCAGAATTCCCCAGCCAGCCATGGGCATTCAACAAATGAAGTTTAAGTTTAGAATGATGGGATTCAGATTTCAGAAGAGAGGCCACATTCAAACATGCAAGCTAAGCAACAGTGCTAGAGAATCTTGACCTAATGAGGAGCATTCTGGAGAATATTGTCCAGATGTTTCTCTCTCACTCCTTCTACTAGCTAGAGCAACTCAATAAAAGTTAAACAGCAAGAAAAGGCTTAATGAACCAAAACACAAACCAAAGTTTGTTCTTGACTTAAAATTTCTGTATTGTATGGGATTGACAATCCAGGAGATGACTTTTTCTTATTGTTTCTTTAGCTGCTTTTACCAGCAAGGAGAAATCAAGTAGGAGTGATGGAATAGAATGTATCAGCATGCATTTCACAGTCTATAAATCAGATTCTCTGGAATCTGGTTCATTGCTTTCTGTAGTTATGCCATTTATGTGTTGGATCTTGTATTTCATTGGGTGGTCCACCATAGGCAATTTGATCTTTGTTGCTTGCATTGGGGACTCATGGTAGAGGAGCAAAAAGTGAAGTATGAGGATCCATTTCCTGAGGACATTTTGGATGGGCTGGGTAACCTTTGTGTACCATTTTTAATTTTTATTTTATTTTTTGCCTTTGAGGGGTCATGGCTGGTGTTTAAGTGGCATCACAGACCATTTGTTTTATTTTGGGGGATGGGGGCAATTACAAGGTTCTACACTCCTATGAAACCTTCTTGTTGCTTAAACATGCAAACAACTATACCATCAAAAGGCACCATCTGAGGGTGCTCTGGAGGCCGCAAAATGGTATGGGGGCTGCAGGCTGTGGCCTGCCCACCATTTTTACAAACAGTTGTTTTTAATGCCTTAATTTGGATTTTACTTCTTTTCCTTCCTTTCTCAAGCAGAGAGAAAGGCATTGCAAGTTTGATTTTTAATTCGCGAAGAAAAAAACACGAATGCACAATACAGACTCCTAATGTTTAAGGCTTAATTCTTTATTATAGCAGTGGGGAACCTGTTGTTCTGCAGATACTGTTGAGCTGTGATTCCCACCAGCCACGATCTTCGGGGTGGGCAAGAAGTTCCCCACCTTTGCATTACTGATTGGTTTGTTGTTTGTAAACTGATTCTCTCAAGTTGCAAAGGGGAGTCATACCTTTAGCTTCAAGTGTAATGGTTTCATCTGATGAAGGAAGGAATTAATTTCATGTGAAGTTTTCTGTTTCTTTAAGTAATAATTCAAAAACTGACCGTCTAGGAAATAAAGGGCACACAGACATTAATCTTGCCCTAGAGTCTGGCAGCTTCTTATCTCTGAGGTGTAATTCAAGGGGTCTCCTACAATCAATTGGCCTGGCCCATCTTGGCTTGAAGTTGCTGTGGACATTTTTCCACCACACCTTGGCACCGTCCCCATCTCTCTTCCCCACCCCGATTCCCGAGTCACTTTTTGCTCCCTGACTAACCCCTGTGGTGCTGTGTGAACCCAGCAGTACGGATGAGGCGCTATCACTGGAGGACAAAGATCTGAGGGACCGGGAGAGGCGGATGGCCAATAATGCCAGGGAGAGGGTGCGCGTACGGGACATTAACGAGGCCTTTAAAGAGCTGGGACGCATGTGCCAGATGCACTTAAAAACAGACAAAGCACAGACCAAACTCATCATCCTTCAGCAAGCAGTGCAAGTCATTCTAGGCTTGGAGCAGCAAGTACGAGGTACGGCGCTAGGGGTCTCCCCCACCCTGAGGTCATTCATTCTCTTGCATGGGCGGGAGGCTGTCTCTTTCTGGGGATGTCCCAGACGTGCCTTTATTCGCATGAGTGTGTCCTATGCCTGTCCCTTCCGTCCTTTGCTCTGGGCGCTTAGTTGAGCGATTCTGGTTGGAATGTGTTCTTTGGTTTTGCTTTGCTTTACTGCTCTGTTGGCTGCAAATTGACCACAGCAGAAATGATCCCCAAAGGACTGAGGATCATTCTTCGTCAACACCATCTGCTAAACAGCCCATGACTTTTCAGAGGTGGGAGTACACAGAGTCTTAAGTATATCCATCCAGACCTGCTATCCAGAGCACTGTGGCCTGCTTCAAGGGCTGTAAAAAGGCTGATCACAAGGTGGCGGCAAAGCGTGAGAATTGCCTGTTTCTCTTTGCTGCCATGTAGTGATCATCTGCACTGATAGCAGCCCAGACCTGGTAGTTGTAGCCTTGGGTGACTGCAGCTCCCCCAAAAACTGCTGTTTCCCGTGCTGGGACACTTTCTCTCGCTCGCGCAGCATGTATGTTCATTCTCTGTTTTTCCACTCCTAACGCTTCTTGGGGAGGACGGCAGAAAGAATGTGGTCATTGCAAGATATTTACCCTGGGTCTAGGTTTTCTCCTCCTTCCCATGGCCTGTGTCTTTTCTGTTTGTCTCAGAACGCAATCTGAACCCTAAAGCGGCTTGCTTGAAACGTCGTGAAGAGGAGAAAGTGTCTGGTGTGGTGGGCGATCCCCAGATGGCACTTTCAGCATCTCATGCAGGTTTAGGAGATGGACACAACCCCGTGGGACATATGTAAAGGTACTTCCTCCTGGGACCTGTTGTGGGGCTGTTCTTGAAGGGACAAAATGGAACATGCAGCTCCTTCATATGTGATATGTGCGTTTCTTTCACATGCATGTTGCTCATGACTTGATCCCTGACATGGGAGCAGGAGGGGGCAAAATCCACCAGGAATTTCTGCTAATGGACATCATTTAAATCAACAGCTGGTTTCCTCCAGGTATGGTGGAACTTCAGAATTCTGAGCCAGCTTGATCATCAAGTCCACAGGATGACCTTGAGAACAGCCATGTTCTCTTAGTCTCGGTTGCCTCACAGCATTGCTGTGTGGATTAAAATGGAAAGCTTTACTTATCTGTGAAAACGTACAGTCTGCTTTTCCACCCACTGTTCCTCAAACTATTAATACAGTTATTTAGACTTAATACCGTAAAATATAACAAGGGGTGTCATGAGAGAGTGAACATCAGTCTATACAGCGAGAGTTTATTCACTTAAAAAATGGAATTCTCAAACAAGAGCCACACAGAGAAGCCTTTAGGTCCTGTGAATCCTTATTTGCAAGGAACCCTGGAAAAGGGCCTATTGAGTCAGATCATAATGCACAAGCAGGGTTATTGGGAGGAAGAATCACTCCTCAAACTACCTTGTCTCCCCCAGGGCATTAGCTGAGGATACATGACAAGTCTTCTGTGCCAAGATGGGAAAATATTTGAGAATGACCACAGATGACATGACATAAAAGTAACAAATGATTTACCATAGCACAGTGTGGAACTGAAACCTTTCCATACTGAAGGCCCCTGATATTCCAGTTTAAAAAGATAACAACTGATGGGAAGGATCCTTCTGCACTTCACTTTGGAGAGTCACCGCCAGTCAGTATAGACAACTGACTCCTTGATTTCGTTTATTTACTGTCAGACCCAGAAACAACTCCCTGTGGTTTATATCATGAACACCAACAAAAACACCACTCTACCATAGCACAATAGGTGGAGTGGGGACCATTCACTCCCTCAAAGGCCCTCCAGAGCACTTCTTTGTCTGGAAGGTCAACAGTGAGGGCAATAACCTAATTTCCAGAGAGGGATCTCTTCCATAACGTGGGGGCTGCAACTGAAAAATAGTGCCTGCAAGCTCTGGCCCTGCTCATCATCTGTCAGCAAGTCCATCTTGGACAAGAGAAGCAGAGAAGGCCATTTTGGGCAGAGAAGGCCATTTTGTATATAGCTTGACACCAAGTCAGGTAGGGTGCAGTACTGTGATGGAAGGACTCACCGTCTAGTGAAGGCGGTTTCTTATAATTATAAAACAGTGTTTCTCATCCTTGACGGCTTTAATTCCTTTAGAATTCTGGGAGCTGAAGTCCACACATCTACATCTATAACTATAACTATATCTAATTTTTATTAAAAAAAATTTAAAAGGAAGATAAAAACTAATACAAACTAATATAAAGTAAGAAAAAGAAAAAGAAAGAAAT